TGTCTCACGGAGAAATCCATGTCTTGCAGCAACAAGCTCCAATTCTGGATCATCCGATTTCTGTCTCGTTGTGAACGGATCCACTGAAGCGCAGAATGATCCGTCTTGACGATGAAATGACGTCCCTCCAGGTACGGACGGAACGTTTTGCAAGACCAATACAACGCATAGGCCTCTTGCTGTGTAGGCCACCAAGCTTGACGTGTTGAGTCAAGCTTCTCTGAGGTGTATCCAATCGAATGCTCATGGCCGTCGTCGTCTTCCTGCACGAGGACAGCTCCAATGCCGACGCCACTTGCATCGCACTTGACGATGAAGGTACGACTGAAGTCAGGCATAGCGAGGATCGGAGGATCACACAATGCCTTCTTGAGCTTCCAGAACGCCTCCTTCATCTCAGGAGTCCATTCGAATGTCTTTGGCGCTTCAGTGCTGAGTGCCGCGCTCAAGGGAGCAGCGATTGTTGCAAAATTCGGCACAAAGCGACGGTAATACGAGCAAAGACCATAGAAGGTATGCAGCTCCTTCTGTGTCTTCGGCAGTTTCCAGTCCTTGACTGCCTGTATCTTTGATGCGACAGGCTCAAGACCTTTCGCACTGATCATGTGTCCAAGATATTCCATCCGTCTCGTGCCCAGAATGCACTTCTTTGGCTGGAACTTAATCCCAGCTAGCTTGACACGATCCAGGACTTCACGCAGACAGGTGCACAACTCATCATGTGTGCGTGCCATCACACACACGTCATCAAGGTAAACCAGGCATGTCTGCCATTGCAGACCAGCGAGACACACTTCCATGAAGCGCTGACAAGTAGCCACCGAGTTCTTCAAACCCATGGGCAGGTACAGATACTCGAATTGGCCCATGCCAGCCACTGCAAAGGCTGTCTTTGGTATGTCTTTCTCTGCCATAGGGATCTGATGGAAACCCTTGGCCAGGTCCAAACAACAGAAATGCACGTTGCCTGCCAACGCATCGAGAGTGTCATCAATGCGAGGCAACGGATACTTATCGGCCACTGTGATCTCGTTCAGCGGACGATAATTTAAACAGAATCGCCACGACCCATCCTTCTTCTTCGCAAGCACTACTGGAGCGCAATACGGAGAGCTGGACGGTCGCACCAAAACCAAGTCAAGGAACTCTTTGACTTGCCACTTCTCGAAGTCAGCCTTCTCTGGGTCACGTCGAACGCGAGCAGGCTCTCGAGGCGGAGGGCCTGTCACATCGATGTAATGATACGCAAGGTTGCCACGCCCATACGGGTCAGTATCGCTAGAGAAGCACTCAGCGTATTCACACACGATACTGTGCATGACCTCAGCCTGCGCCTTGGTCTGTCCGTATGGATCGTCAGGATACACGGGGATTTGAATTCTGTCCACGTGAGACAGATCCTCTTCTTGATATCGCTTTGCCCCCTTCTCTGAGAAGTGGGGACAATCACGGGCATCTGTATATGTCTCATCAGTTGGAGGGTCAGGCGG